AATATTGTAAAGGCAACGCATGCACCTGGAGGAAGCGTCCAACATGATAGAATACTGCCGCCTCCTCTTGGCCAGGCAGAGTGTCTCCTCCCGGATCTTAGCGTATGCATCATCGAACCTCTCGGCATGCTTCTTGAATGCATTAGCGTATTTTTCGTGACCAGGGGGTATATCCTGCAACTCCGGAGTCTTTTCCGATTCCCGGGGCTGCACGACTCTCTCCGTATCGCACGATCCTACCACTCCTACCGGGCGCTTGGTCCTTTTCTCCTCCTTCAGGTAGAACCACCACATGACCCCTCCGGTGACGCATGCGAACAAGAGAACGCGGGATACGACCAAGACGGTAGAAGTAGAGAAGAGATGCATCTTCCTACTGTCATTGGCAATCTTTTTCTTCCTCGGGCAGAGCGAGCCAGATCGTGATCGTCTTCTCATCGGCAGACGTGTAGACGTAGTCGAAGCATCCTGCTGCCCTCAGAGCTCGTCCTAGCTCCCCCATCATCTCGCTTCGGACGCCGTTCCGCAACAGCAGCTTGCTAGGGCGGGTGGGTCTAGCGAAGCTCTGGACGAGGCGAGCGAACTCTGGCACGTCCCTCCTACCCAGAAGGGAGATTCCCACGTCGAGCTCTCTCATCCGTCTCCGTAACGCGTTCCTCAAGCCTGCTACGGAGGTGCAAGCCTGAGGTATGCAAAGTCGTTCGAGACCCTCGATCCGTACCACACTGGATAGGGCCTCCGCTCCGGCCGCCCAGCCCTCGATGCTGAGATACCGCAACCGGCATCGAGCTGCCTCTAAGAACTCGTGGATCCGATTCGCAGCACAGAAGAGCGTGGACGCTCCACCGAAAGCGAGCCGCAGCTCCTTCAACGTCCGCGGCACCGCAGCTACGAAGCGCCCTATGGGGACGCACCCTTGGTAAGGGCCGCCGATAGAGTCTCCGCCGATGTCCACCTCCAGGGCCTCCAGCTTCGGGAACCACCCGAGCAGGAACGTTATGGTCTCGTCGAAGTGCCTCCTCTCGAAACCATTGCAACCGTCTACTCGGACGTGCAGAGTCAGACGGTAGCACCTGAGGAAGCACAGATTCTCCAGCCTGCGGAGCCTCACGCCCACGCCGTCATGAGCGAGATGCGACGTGCACTTGGCCTCATAGGGTCTCCCCTCGACGAGCCCTTCCTCAAATCCCTTCAACAGAGCCACCGAGTCCGCCAACGGACCCTCCGAACGGATGCGTCTCACGCGCGTCTCCGCCGCTAGGTGCCGTCCGAAGTAAGTGAGTCCCTTGGATCCACACGAGGAGACCGTCAAGCTCTCTAGGGAGCCGAAAGCGCGAGGAGCCCTGGCGAATGAGGCGACGTCGTCTGCAGATTGTAGCGCCGTGCTCTTGAGCTCGTTCGCGCAAACGCTCCACTCCACTTGTAGCATATCCTCGTCCGTGACATTCAAGGTCAGGATGCCATCCGGATGCAGTCGACTCCAAAAGAAGTCTCCGTTTGTCACGGAAGGCATGCGACCCAGCGTCTCCGAGTCGGAAGACCAATCGTACGCCCAGTGATCCGGCTCGAAGGAGAGCAGCGCCTGTCGCAATCGCTGCCCGGTCGGGTCAGCCGCCTGGAGGACGTTCACGTGCCCCATAGCCCTCGGCAAAGAGCCCTCTATGAAGACATCCCTGTCGCACCCACCGATTACTCTGGACAAGCTGGCCCCGGCCATGCATATCTCGGAAGCACAGCCGTTCCCAAAGACTATCCTTTCCAGCTTCGTAGATATGGAGAGGTACTCGCTCAAGGCCTCCAGAGACTGCTTGTCGAACATGTAGTCGCGGAACTCTACGGCCCTGGCCGTGCACGTTCTGTCGCTGAGACTCCTGATCAGAGGAGCGGCTAGGGAGTTGGCCCTGTCTCTGACGTCCGCGAAACAAGTCGCGACGATGCGCTCTTCGCCGACCGACAGGATGTGCAATCTAGGGTCCATGTCTGCGTACCCGTCATTTGTTCGTGCGACCTTCCTATATCGCGCCCATGGACCCGATCGGCGTACATCGAAGCGAAGGATTCGATGATCATTACGAGAACGAGGGAGACTTTGCTCTTTGGGCGCCCTTCAGAGGAGGAACGCCAGTGCCCTGAGGAACAGGGCATCCCACCGTGATAACGCATGTCAGGGCACGTTTTTGGATGTGCCACGTCACCATCCAGCAACCGGCAACCGGACAATTTTTCAGAGGCCCTCAGAAAAGGGGTGATCGATCTGATCTATCTCAGATTGTACAGATCGATCTCGGAACTCCCTTAAGTTCCCCAACCTTGCCGGTTGCTGGTTGTA